AAATTATATATATATATATATATATATATATATATATATATATATAATTAGAAATTATATAATTTAAAAATGATTAAATTGTTAAATTATACTGAAGATAAATATTATGAATTATTGTGACAAAATCGGAACCACATTCTTATTGAGAAGTGATAAATGCCTATTACATAACAACGATGAATATAAGAAATGACTATTTTAGTAGAAACAAATATATAGAATTATAACTGATGTTCAATCTTTGAATAACTATTTCTACTTAGATTTTCAACCTTTAGAGCTCTTTACATATCCCTCATTATTTGAATCACATTCATCGTTAGACTCCAAATTTTCAATAAGACGTTGAGGCACCTGTCCATCCAGAGAGTGGTGAAAGGTAAAAAAAAATATCAAATACCTCAATAAAGTTATACAAAAAGCAAAACAATATAAGTGAGTAATAAATAACCTCTTCAAATAAATCATAATCTTCTTTATCATAAGTATGTGTAGGGAAATCTGGATCCTTCAATACCCCCACAGTAGTTCTATCATAACTGCACCATATACATGTGAGTATTAGTTTTATTTCTATACAGATTATAAATCACAAAAAATATATTAATTCGATAAACTCCCCTTCTTTAAATTTCTTCAGCCACTTTTGAACAAACCTTTGAGGAATATGCATATGCAGAAAAGTTTTCTGAATTTGTAGGGTAAAAACAAATGTTGTAAAAAACCATATGCATGCATAAACTAAAAGTTTTGAAATACAAAATATTAAGATTATAGGGTTCACGACCAACAATGTCGCTGTGCGTTGAAGCCATTGTTGCTCAGTGTAAATAGAAGAGTATAGAGGCAGAAATATATTGAAAGCTTACAACTTTAAGTTTTGCAGAATGATCTGTTTAAATAGCAAATTGATATGTTATTACATTATTATGGTAGAATAATATATATATATATATATATATATATATATATATATATATATATATATATATATTGTATAATATACGGTGTACATAGGATAATTAAGGTATGAAATTGTATACTTATATTGTATAATAATATTCGGTGTAAATATTGTATAATATTTGGAGTTAATTGTGTTAATTAAGGTAATTGTGTTTTAATTTGATCGGAAATATGGAGATACCATAATTATGTAATATTATCAATTAATACAATTTACTTAATTTTCATTAAACATTTACTTACCAAATAAGATTTATTATTAATTTGATCAATAAGATTTATTATTAATTTGATCAATAAAATGAGTTTGAGACTTTGGGTGGGAAAAAGCTATAGGATGATTTTACTTTTATATATATATATATATATATATATATATATATATATATATATATATATATATATATATATATATATATATATATATATATATATAGATATAGATATATATAGATATATAGATATATAGATTATAGATTATAAAACCATACATAATATTACAAATTATGCAATATTATCAATTAATAGATTTTATTTAATTTGCATTTGACATTTACTTACCAAATAAGCTTTACTACAAAAGTTTGGGCAGGAAAATGAAATGCGATGATTTTGTTTTTATAATAATAATAATAATAATAATATTATTATTATTAATAATAATAATACTAATACTAATAATAATAATAACAATAATAATAATATGATATATATAGATTAATTATTACCCTAATACCTAATTTATAATTCTAATTTTAAAATTCTTATTATAATTTTTAACATTAACATTTGATTAGTTTTATAATTTTCGTGCAATTTATATATACACTATGTATATAGTCGAGGACAAAATTGGTAATTTTATTATAGTCAAGGGACCATTTTGGTAATTAACTGTATAATTAATTATAAAATTATTAAATTTTAAATATTACCTCAATATAGATTTTCATTCATTTTTCTTTCAAAATTAATTTCTAAGATTTTAAATATCATTTTTCCTTCAAAATTGTCTTCCTAACCTTTTTTCTTGCATGTATACTGAAATACAAAAGGAAAAATAAAAAATTTGCCCTCTATATGCAAGTAGGTCAACAAATGTTTATATAAATAATTAATTATAAAATTATTAAATATTTAATATTTCCTCAATACTAATTTTCATTACTTTCCTTTTAATATTTTATTTCCTAAAATTTCAACATTCCTTTTTTATTCCATCCATACGAAAATACAAATGAGAAATCATATATATATATATATATATATATATATATATATATATATACTTAAAAATGGATGCAATTTATTACTGAATTAAAATTATACTAACGTAATTTGAATAGAATTTGAATTAAAACTTATTATATATTACGGAGTATTAAGAAAATACAAATGATATTTTGACTTCAATAATTTCTTTTTCCTTTATTATTATTATAATAAAGCCATGGAAAAAAATAAAAATAAAAATCATTCTTCTGTCCAGTAAAAATTTTGTTAGACTCAACCCAGACTATCAATCTTCACAGCTCTTAACAACATAGTAAAAATATTCTTGAAAAATTATATTATATGTTTAGTATAATAACAACATAATAACGTTTAGCATAATAGGGAATTAAAATTAAAAATTAATCTTTGGTAAGTAAATTAATTCCTTATAAATTAAGTTATTACTTACTCCGTATTAGGTTATTACCTTATAATAATAGTTTACATAATAACATTATATTATTCCTTAATTTCTTAGCAAAGAATATTTCCTTATAAATTACATTATTTTCTTACCAATTATGCTTTATTAATTATTTTATCAATAAATTAATAGTATAGATTTGACCAATAAAATATTTACTTAATTGACTACAAAAATTTGAATGGAAAAATGAAATAGGAGGATTTTACTCTTTATATATATATATATATATATATATATATGATAAATTACAGATTATTTTAATAAGCTTATTATTATTAAATTTGAGCGATTAAATAGTAATATTCAATTTGGTTCTATTATTTTTGCACAATCTTCCTTAAAAGTTCTTGATACTACTGATTGTTTTTCATTTTCTTTTTTTTTAAGGAAAATAACCATATTATTAATAGACGTTTGGGCTGGAAACTACACAGGAGAATTTTATTTTTATTAACAGTATAGAAATTTTTGATTTCATTAGACTTTAAATAAATGTTACCATAATACAAAGATATGATAATCTATTCTATTAATAAAAAATAAAATTCTCTCTCCATAACACAAAGAGAACAATAAAAAAACACCATCAGATACTCAAATCAGTACTTAAAACACAACACACAATATTTAAAAAAAAATATTGAATGGAACAAATAATCCATACTCTAAAAACAAAAAATATAAGAACATTGATTTTTATAAGAATTTAATTACAGGAAATATAGTTTAGGCAAATAAAAGCAAAAAACATTAAATGGTGCTTTGAAGCATACACATACAAAGATATTTTAATCTACTGGCCTTCAATTCTTTCTCAGAATAAGAAGAAATATCTTCATCAAGTGAAGAGGAACCGCTTTCCACCACCTTCATCAGATGGCTTTGTTGACCACAACTTTCGCTTCTCTCTTAACTACAAATAGACAAAAAAAAAAAAAAAAAAACAGTGAACTCAGGTAGTATCCCCTAATGACTCCGTAACCATTGCATCGCACAAATAACAAAAACCATGCCTGGAACTAAAATATATAAACAATATTACAAAATTATTGTTTTAAACAAACCAATAATACGAAAAAATACATATAATACAAAATTTCAAAAACAAAACAATAATTAAAAACTATGGAAGATCAATTACAGACAAAAATAAGACGAAAAAAATATTTTTCTAAAAAAATTATACCTTTTTGCATTGGCTTAGTCAGAGCAACTACAACTGGTCTAGAGTGGCATTAACCCGGAGAAATTAAAGATAGAAATAGCTAGAAGAGAAATTGTACATTTAATATTACATTGATAAATCGGTGATGAGAGAGTCACCTGCAAGGGAAAAGAGTGATGCAATGTAAAATGAAGACTTATAATTTTTTTAGGTATAAACTCATTGTATTTATAGGTGAAAAATATAAGAATTATAAAATTGTAAAATTTTTCAAAAGGAAAGTGTATTTATTTATTTAAGGTATTGCCATAATCAATTCATTATATTGATATTCATAATCAAGACATTATATTAATATTCTTAATTAATCTTATTCCTAATTAATTCATAATATTGATATTATTAAATTGCCTTTTAAGTATATATAATTAATTAAATTTGAATATTACACAAATGCCCTTAAGTTTTGGGGGGAAAATTTGAGAAGGAGGATTTTACTTTTATATATATATATATATAGATATATAGATATATAGATATAGATGTTGATCATGATCCATGACATAAATTGTGGAGTTTAGGGGCTAAGCCAATTGGCCCAAAGGGTTCAAGGAAGAATCAAAATATAATTTGAGTATAAATTTTTGTGTAACCTTTCTCTAAAGAAGACATTAAATTTTACACCAAAATGATGTAAATGAATAGTGCTATACCAAATATAGTTGGAATGGCAATGGTGGCAGTTGCCCCTCTCAACCTTACATCTTGAGAAATCGGACGAATCATATCAATTTTTTTTATAAAAAAAAAAAAATATAGTGACATTTTTATAATTATTACTAACTTTAATATGCAAATTTAAACACTAAAATCTACCATTCTCATACTTTTCCACGTTTGCATATTTAGTATTAACATTTTGCATATTTAATATTAAAAGATTGCACTTGCAAAAATGCAAAAGTGCATTGTTTTGATTTTAGAGTTTATGACTGAATTTTTTTATTTTATTTGATTTAGTAATTCACTTTTTACTGCTTGTCTAGCATTTACGGTTTAGACATAGCAATCTAAGCAGACACTCGTACCCTCAGAAAATAAAATAGCTAGTAGATTACAAGCTAAGAAGATATTCATGGGAACAACTGCAGCAGAAGAGTAAAGAAATGGGAAATGAGTCCTTCCTTCCCCTGAAAAATACAACTTTGTTGTAATACCTAATGAATGTTTGTAAAGATATCAAAGCTTTATGTGATCACCTCAACTTTCCCCAGGCCAGGGAGAAGTTGTACTAATGGTAGAGTCAAAACGAGATCTTTAAGGTACATAACACTTTCAACGAGGTCCCTCTTCTAAGGAGAGAAAAATTAATCAACGATCATGTTGGGGGCAAAAAAGAATGATGCTAGTCACGATATCTTGCTTGGCTACAACTCTCTGTGTCCTCATATGAATCTGCTACTTGTTAATGGTACCTTTCTAAGAACTTCTCTATCACGACTGAGAATGCAGCAAAACCAGCACAACCAGCACACGCGGCCTTTGGACCTCCTGAAACAATGCGTCTTTTGGGAATTAGCAGAAATGGAGAGTGCCAAGTGTAGCTAAGACAGCCCAAATAAACGAACAAAGAAATAAAAGTTGTTTGCAAATTTCATCTCAAGGCAAAGATGTAGTATTCGGCATGAGATAGTAATTTTGTCATGATAGACTGATGCAATCCTCATGACATGAAGTTCGTGATTAGAAGAAAAAAAAAACTATACGAGCTGACTTCAAGTTCAATTACTCAAAAACTGCAATTAATTTCGACCACTAGGCATCTACTCTCCCAACAGATATGTATTTCAAGAACAGCAATGACAAGATGTTATTTTTGTACTATTCACTATTAGTTCAACCAAATGCTCTGTCAATGTTATGCAATGTGTAGAAAGGCTCAACATTAGGGTAGCAGATCCGTGAAACATTTAAGGCAATGATTCAAAGACACAACCAAATTAGAATCCACACGCGCTAGGAGAACTTAGAGCATTAGAAACACAACATACATTCGAAAACTGGATACTTGGAAAGCTATAGGGATTGTTCTATTATACTTCTCGTGATCAAATCAATAATTTACCTCTGGCTGATAATGTGCCTCCCGTTACACATCCAGCAACTGCTGTGTTTGTAATATCATGCTTCGCCCGTGCCTACAAAGAAACCACCCGAGATCAATATCTCATAAGTTTCATTACAAAGTTATCACCATACCACCAAAAGAACTTTCCAATAAGGCAATAAGGAACAGCAAATAACAGAATTTAACTAGCCGATGAAACCACACAATTCATAAGACTCAATATCCCATTTACTCATCATTTGTTTTGCCAGTTCCCTATAATTACAACAAAACATGTGAACAGAACCTTAAAGTAACAAAACATAAGACTCAATATCCCATTTACTCATCATTTGTTTTGCCAGTTCTCTATAATTACAATAAAACAGATGAACAAAACCTTAAAGTAAAATTTTTTTTTTATTAACACTTCATTCACCTTCTCAATAACACATTCAGCAGCTGAGAAAATGAAACCCATAACCGCAAAGGTCTTGCAGGAACTCCAACTCCTCCGACCCATCTGCTTTGCTTGGAACACAATTTGTTGCCTGGCAGTCATTTCATCTTGCATTATAGGATTGTCCAGTGCACCTAAGAACAGACCCATGAACAATCCTAGTCCCCCTCCTACAAACACACAACTCCCAGAATTACTCCTTTGCAAACATCATTATAAAAATCCATACATTATTAAGCATTCAAAACACACAATCGCCAAACTGGACACTGGACAGCTACATTGGGAAATGCTATATACGATGATTTGTAGGGGTAATCATTGAGAAATTTTCAGAGATTAGAGACGTGAGAACATACCCATGACGCCGCTGGAGACGCTGCGAACGGCGCAGTTGTTCCAAATGTCCTGCCCACGAATTTCCTCGACTGTTGGGAGGCGAATGGGTTCGATCGGTGGCTTATCGGCTTCTTGGGAGCTCGAGGACGACGCGTTTTGGGGATCATTTTCAGGGTCGGAACTCATGGCGGCAGAAACAGTTTCGATTCAAAGGTGAAATTCTTCGGAGTAAAAGTGACGATAGCTTAGCTGCCAATGCTGAAGAGTTCTGCATCATGTAAGAAGCTCTCGTATACAAAAAGAAAAGGAAAACTTTAGGAGAAGGCAAACTGCGGTCAAGAAGCAAGCATTTAGCCGAACCGCGACGCCCCTCGATCGTGCGTCACGCTCCGTCTTGCCCAAATATGTTATTTTATTAGAAGCCCATCAAACTGGACAAATTATTACTCCCTCCCCTATTTTATGCGTATGATTTGGTTAACAAGACTTACTTAAGTCATTTTTAATATAATTTTTCATAATATTAAGTTTATTATTAGTATAAAAAATTTATATATTTATGGGTAGGATTGACCAATGAATAGTAAGTAGGATACATAGGATGAGACAGATGGAGTATTAATTATTATTTCGTTTGAAAATTTGAAAAGTATTCTTGGGAAAATGATTTTCAGAAAATGACTTATTTTTTAAGAAAATATTTAAATCTTTTGGTGTTTGACTAATTGTCTACTTGACTGAAAGTTAAGAAATCATTAAATCTGCTTGGTTCATTTTCCTCAAAATAAACATATTATTGTTTTGCTCAGTACCTGGATGGGCTATTAAGAGGAATTATTATTGAGCATTTACCGACCATAGAGATAACCTACCTAACCAGGTATAAAGAACCGAGCAAAATGGTTTAGTTAGCGACAGAAGTTTCCTGCCTTCCTGCCTTCGGCGGTCACTCCGACAATCTTAAGTTAGGACGAATCACCCGACATTCCCCACTTAAAAAACGGAATCGTATTGTCAAACTCGATCGCAACAAGAACGAAGGCATCATGAATCTTAATACACGCGGAATACCATAAAAAGGCGAGGTCCTACCATGACGCTCGGACCTCGATACTTCTAGGTCGGGGACTACGTTTTGAGAAGGTGAAAAGGGAATCGACTGCTAGATGGAGGAAAGCTAGCACAAAACTGGGAAGGCCCATACGTGATTACAACGGTGATTCGATGAGAGCATACAAATTAAAGACAACGACTGGGAAGCCAGTAGATCAAATATAGAATTCCGAACACCTAGTACTCTTCCACCATATAGAGCTATTTTGTTTGAAGTGGTTGTAAAAAAGTTGGTCAGGCAATAGTTTATAGTTGTGTACTCTCGATCAACTAATGTTGTAATTTTTGTTTGTATTTGAAATGATCACCTTAGAGATTGATCGGGCAATGATTGTAAGGCTTGCAAACCCAAAATCAATCAGTGTTGTAATCTTATTTTGGATTAATTGTTTTGAGTGTACGTTGTATTGTTCAGATCTTTGTATCACGCCTAAAATTAATCGGAAGGATACCAGATCAGGTCGTCATGCCTACGGCTCGTGCGAATAAAGCTCGTATGGTGAATCACTTTTGTTCTCGAAACCGCGATAAACTCAATCTTTAGATCAGGGTGAAACCCGACCTCATGCGTCGATATATAATGGTTAGTTAGTCACTAGACCACAACCGATTTGATATCCAGATCGGTGTGCAATCTGACCTCAGTGCATCAGTACATAATGGTCACTAGACCTCAGTCAACCCGATCTCTAGGTCAAAGTGTTGTCCGGCCTCACGCGTCGGTGCAGGGTGGTCCTTAGACCACACTAAATCCGATCCCTAGATCGGTGTGTGACCTGATTCACTGATCAGTGCAAGCTGGGTCCTAGATCGTAATCAGACTGACCCATAATAGGGCTCGACGTTTGACACCGTGTCGAAGTAAGATGGTCTCTTAACCGGAGGCTAAGATTGAGGCCTTTTGATGGTGAAACGAAGAACAAACAAAGTCTTCCTAACCATGGAAACGACTTAGCCTTCAGGTCGGGGGTTAGCGAACCCCGAACTTGGAGGGCGAAAACACGTGTTCGTAATTAAAACGAAAATGCGAATAAGCATTCGAAATTAGTCAAAAAGACAATAAATTAAAAGGCCTAAAACAGAAAAAATAAGTTTTAAAGCCCGGCGACACAAACGTGGTTGAGCTCACGGAGTCAATGTTCTGCGAATTTACCCAACATAAGCGGGGTCAGGCTCCCAATCACAAACACATTACTCCTCGCGTGGAGGATTCTTCTCCATTTCAATTTCTAGGAGCTCCGAGGCAAGTGCGACAGTCGTTGGCTCAGTGTAGGGCGCAGGATCGGGGTCGGCCACCTTGTTAGGAAGAACACCGAGGATGGTGGCCAAATCATTATCATCTAAGGCCTGCGTGAGGACTTCAGTCACATCATTGTGCATCTTGCGCTTCCCACACACAAAAGCCCACTTCCCGTACGCCCTTACCATTTCTTTTCCGATATGGGTGCTGACGAGTGACCTGAAGAATGGCTCGGCGAGATCCCGCTCCCCGAATATACGTGTAGTTAGAAGACCAGGGGCTGCAACCGCGTCATTTAAGAAGGTCGATGAGGCCTTATAGTCGACCACATCCGTCTCGCTCTTCCCCTCGAGTTCAACTACCTTCCTGTCAAACTCAACTACTTTATTCTCGAGCTCAGCAACCTTGCCTTTCAAATCATTGATCATGGAATCTCTCCGATCAATCGCACTTATCATGACCTCCGAGTCCCTCTGGCGGGCTTTCTCAACATCCTTGGCCCGGCAAAACAAGCTAGCCAGGGTCCTGCACAGCTGCAAAAGGGCGGATGTTAGTAGGATACTCTATGAAGTTGAGTGAATAAAATAAGTTGGAGTGTTGTATACCTGGATGAGATCCCGGGCACCCTGTTCTCCGACCTGGTTGGTCAACCATCCGGAGGTGTCCTCGGGAGCAGGCAGTGCAGCACAAATCCTCTCGAGCAGAGATGCTGGTTCCAGCCCAGACAGGAGGGCATCCACGATCGGCGTGTGGTTAGGGGAACTCAAGATTTTCTGCTTCTTGGGCCGGCTGTCGTCATTACCCTCAAGGGCTTTATCCTTGCCCCTCTTAGTTGGGGCTCGGGCAAGATTCAGATCAACCACCGCGCTTGGTTGCACGACGTGGGCCAACGGTAACTCGAAAGGCACGGAGGTCGTAGCGCTAGTTGAAGTTACCTTCTTCCCGCCCAATTTCACTTTGGGCCGGGTAGCCCGAGGGGTAGCATCCTCGAATGGCTCGTCGAGACCCATCTCTGCAAAATTGAACAAAACGTCAGACATCCATTTAAGAATTTTTAACCGATCCTACCTACTTAGAGATTGAGCGTGTAAAAAGACCTCCGGTGACAGGCACGTCGGTCGATGAAAGAGTCGCGACGGTGACTGTCCTCGTCGCATGGACGTACTTCACGTCCCGATCGTACTGTGGCTCTTCGAGGTTAGCTGCAACATATTCCTTGGGGGACGGGAAGATCCTTCGGTGGTCACTCCGACTATCTTTGGTCGGGACGAATCATCCGACCTTCCCCACTTAGAAAACAAAACCGCATTCCCTTTAGTCAAACTTGATCGTGACAAGAATGAGGGTGTCAGGAACCTTAGTACATATGGTGGAATTAGCGAAGCCTCCGACCTAACCATGTGCATAAGCAGCACGTGTCGCACATGCTGAGCTTCCGGCATGTGTATCCTCATATTTTATACACTTATATTAAGCCCGGAGCCCTCGGACCCATGGTCACATAACTCGAGCCCAAACAGGCCATATGAGGGTTCATCTGCCCGATCTACTATTTATACGTATTTGCGGAGACAATCGTATCTATCTCATCAGTTCTAATAATAATAATAATAATAATAATAATTAATAATAATAATAAAATGTGGTTATCATGGTGGTGATGGTTGTGGCTGTAGTCTTGGTGACAATAGTGGTGTGGTAGTAGGGACAATGATGCAATATGAATAGTTATTTTTAATATATATACTAACATGATTATTTTATGATAATATTTTTAAAAATAACTTTCAATATAAAATTTTTTTAGAAATACCTATTCAATGTTCTAAAAGGGTGTGTGTTTGGTTGGAGGTTTAGCACTGATTGTTATTGTTTGGTTGATTGGTTTCTAAAACACTACTATAGGTTTGGAATATCTCATTAATGGAAGAACTCATTCTCATATTTTATAAGAGTTTCATTCCCATTATTAAGTATGGAGTATTTGATATCCATAATGATTCCGATTCTCATGTATGAACCAAACACACCCAAAATGAATTTTAAGTACGGAATATATTGAAAAAAAATAAACGACGTACTGGAAGCGGAGACTGTGCTGGTCAGCGGTGGAGGCGTTGAGCGGCTCTGGTCGGCGAGAACACTGCGCTGAAGCGGCAACGCCCAGTGGCCCTAGTCGCCGTCGAGACTCGAGGACAAAACAACGAGGGGAGAATTGGTCCACCGGAGAGTGGAGAGCACGGAGAGTCGGTGACGTTGACAGGATCAGAAGAAACGCCGATCGTTCCCGGCGGTAATCGCTGTCACGACTAGGGAATTTTAGGGATTTTGAATCTTTTTTTTTTTTTTTGAGAGACATTTAGGAATTACGATTTTAGCTCCACAACTCTATGGCCCATAACAGGTCCATGATCCATGATATAACAATTGATTGGATTGGGCTTGGGCTCACAAAAGGCATGGAAAAGGCCCAAATAAATTGGGCTCACTAGTGAAACCTCATATCAAACCAAATATAAACGCTCATCGTCAACATAGGGTTTAAGCCTTTGAAGTGGCAGTTTCAGCATCAAGCGGCCGAACCCTACAGAACAGCCGGCGGAGGCTGAACACTTAGAGCGGCGGCGATTCTCAGTTCACCACCACCAACATGGTTACTCTCTCTTCTCGTTTAAGTTAATCGTTGATAAACTGTTTATATTGTTGTGTTTGCCATTGTTATTCATTTCTTTGTTCCACTTCTCCTTCTTTGTTAAAAATGAGGATTCCTCGGTTTGGATCTGTAGTATACATGTTGAATATTCAGTCGTTGATGAGTAATTTCGTAAATTTGTCGATGCTTACTGGAACAAGTGACCTCCCTTTTATATGTGCTTTCCTCTGTGAAAATGCATGGATATATATATATATTTATTAGTTCAAGCTAAGCTTCCATAAGTAACCCTGTCTACGGATGTTAGTTTTTATGGATTTATCTTCAGGCTTGTTAGGTTTTAGGCCTTTTGCACTTAGATGTGACCTTGATCTGCTCCTTTTTTGAACCATTTGATTGTAGTTATTTTTGCATAGTTAATCCAAATTGATGAAAGTATACCTGAATTCCTGATTAGAAATCATTCAAAGTTCTGGATTTTTTTTTTTTTTTTTTTTTTTTTTTTTTTTGTATCATTGGTATGATTAGCATTAACATAGTGAGTTTATGTATTCTAATTGCTTTCTGTTTGCAGGCGAGAGGGTTGAAGAAGCACATGAAGAGGCTCAATGCCCCTAAGCATTGGATGCTTGACAAACTTGGGGGAGCTTTTGTAAGTGAAGGGCTATGGAAAAACTGTTATTCAAGGATTGTTTCCTTGCTTAGTGCCACTGCCTCTTTAACTGTGGCCCTTCTAAATTGCTTTTGCAGGCCCCTAAGCCTTCCTCTGGACCTCACAAGTCAAGGGAGTGTTTGCCATTGGTCCTCATCATTCGAAACAGGCTTAAGTATGCCCTTACTTATCGTGAGGTCATTTCAATTTTGATGCAACGCCATGTTCTGGTTGATGGAAAGGTTAGGACAGACAAGACTTACCCTGCTGGTTTCATGGGTGAGTACATTTCCTCTGTTTTAAGGTTATTTCTGTTAATTTATTGAAATACACCAAGATCCTGATTTTGATGAGCAAGTATTGATAGAGAATTACTTCAATGTCTGCATGTTTTACTTTTTTGTAATTTATTTTCTTTTTAAAGTGGCTTGACACGGGAGAAATTCATTAAACGTTTGACTTTTCAGATGTTGTTTCAATTCCTAAGACAAATGAGAACTTCCGCCTACTTTATGATACCAAAGGACGGTTCCGTCTTCACTCCATTAGAGATGAAGAGGCAAAGGTTGGTATACATCTCTTTTCAGAGTGTAGGATCTGGAATAGCTCTATTTTCACTGATAGGCATATTAATTGCAAGCACTGTTGCTTTGAAGAATTGTTATCTACTCCCAAATCAATTTTTTTTTTTTTTTTTTTTAAAAGAAGTTTATCTTTTTCTAAATGGCAGTGGGAAATGCTTTATTCCAGTGCGGCTATCTATTAGGGCCTGTACCATTGTTTTAATTGCTTTAAAGAATCTGTATTATTTTTGAGGAGTTATTTTGTGTTCTCAGTTGGGTTTTAACTCTTGCTTTTATCTTATGATGGGAATCCTTTTGTCCAATATTAACTTCCTGCTGCATTCCTATTTTGCAGTTTAAGCTTTGCAAGGTCCGCTCTGTGCAATTTGGAAAGAAGGGAATTCCATATATTAATACCTATGATGGCAGGACCATCCGTTATCCTGATCCCCTCATCAAGGCCAACGACACTGTCAAGTTGGACTTGGAGAGCAACAAGATTGTTGACTTCATCAAGTTTGATGTTGGAAATGTTGTTATGGTGACTGGTGGAAGAAACAGGGGGCGTGTTGGAGTGCTTAAGAACAGGGAGAAACACAAGGGTAGCTTTGAGACTGTCCACATTCAGGATTCCCTTGGACACGAGTTTGCTACCCGCTTAGGAAATGTGTACACCATTGGCAAAGGTACCAAGCCCTGGGTATCTCTACCCAAGGGGAAAGGTATCAAGTTGTCCATCATTGAAGAAGCCAAGAAGAGGCTTGCTGCTCAGTCTGCAACCACTGCTTAAACAACTGTCAGCATTACTTAATAGCCTTATATCCAATTTGAAGTATTTTGTCACTTAAACGGGATTTTGTTTCACCAAACTCATTCGACTTCTTGCTTTTAGCGACACTTATAGTGTTATCAATGTGAGCTGTTTTTGCATTTGACAAATTTGTGTTGTTGCATTTCTTTTTGTTGGATGTAAGGTAGAGGTTTTATATTAATTCAGCATATCCCTTTAGTATTAAATCAGATCAGATTCTATATTTGCTTGACATGTTTCTCTAGTTGGGATGACTGTCCTTTAAGTTGGCCTCTTGGTGATATTGTGCCCTTGCAGTTATACAAATAGCTCTTATTGGAGGAAGAAGATTGTGGAGTTTGGATTTAAACTTATCGCATGGAAATAGATGGTGGGATTTTAATTGAAGTTATATCCAACTAAATTGCATCCTAAATAATCAGATTACGTTCTTAATGGTGAAATTTACAGTTTTTGCATAACACAACTTTAAAATTAATAGATTTATTCTTGTACATTACTCTATAGACTAGGGTACTAAAATTCTTTGTTTGAGCTCATCATCTGTGGGCTAGTTTGCCTTTTTGTCATCATCTGTGGGCTGGTTTGCCTTTTTGTTATCTTTGTTGATTAGGATCACAAAGCAATGGACTTTCTTGTAAGTCAAAAGAGTACATACTGGTTTGCCTTATTTTCTATTGACTAGAATCATTGGGGAAATCACTGAGAGCACATTTGGTTCAAGTAATGAATTTTGAGTTAATAGGATTGCTATTCTAAGGAATTATATTTTATTGTTTGGTTATAGTGTTTTGTTGGTTTAAGAAATATAAATGAAACTAATTTTCTTTTACGCGCGAATGAGATAATGCCTAATGATTATTTTTAAATAAGGATAAGGATTTCAAAGTATATCATTCAATATTATATATGAGATGTTTATGCATGTATAAATAAATGTTGAATTTGTTTAGAGTTAAGCCCATTTTGGTCCCTTGACTATTAGATAATGCGCAATTTAGTTCCAAACTATTAAAAGTAACAAATTTAGTCCTCTAAGTTGTAAAATCATACTCAATTTAGTCCTCCGTTACAATTGCTATCCATCCACCGTTATAAAGAGGGGCAAAAATGTCATTTTATCTAAAGTCGATGGATCAAAATGGGATTAGCTGTTATTATCTAATATAGTCGAGGGACCAAAATGGGTATTAACTTATTATTATTATTATTATTATTATTATTATTATTATTATTATTATTATTATTATTATTATTATTATTATTATTATTATTATTATTTGATATTGGTACAATGTCTCCTACCACCATATTACTTCCTATTATTTTAAAAACTAAAATGTACCACAAAAATAATATATATGATCTTCAAATAATTCTATATATATTATTTTTGTATATTTTCTTATTGATTTATTATTATTATATGCATTATTTTAATTAGATTTATTATTATATGTATTATTTTTAGGATTTAACCGACCGATTAACTGAATAAAAATGTACATAATTGTATAAAAAAAGTACATAATTGTATACCATAATGTACATAATCGCGTCAACATCCTACACAACTTAACAAAACGGCGTTGTTTTGGGAGGCGCGAGGCGCATAGTGCTACGTGCGCCGTGGTGTAGGGTATAACGATTGAGATAGATCATAGTGAATTTTGAATTCCTGAAAGATAGTGGTTTTTTTGTGGTACATTTTAGTTTTTAAAATAATAGGAAGTAATATGGTGGTAGGAGACATTGTACCAATATCAAATCTATACTAGATATAAAAATAAAATCCTGAACTTTTAACTTCTCTTTCCCATTCGTACAATAATTCTGGGTAAAAATTATATTCTAAAATTAGAATAGTGTAATACAATTCCTATTGTAATCTATACTATATATAAAAACAAAATCCTGAAATTTTAACTTCACGCCCCATTCCTAAAAAATCTCTCTTCTTAATAAAATATATTGATTTCTACTTTCCCATTTGTACAATAATTTTGGATTAAAATTCTATTCTAATATTATAAAATAGTGTAATACAATTCCTATTGTAATCTATACTATATATAAAAAAAAAATCCTGAAATTTTAACTTCCCGCCCAATTCCTAAAAATATCTCTTCCTAATAAAATATATTGATTTTTACAATAATTCTGGGTTAAAATTCTATTCTAATATTATAAAATTGTGTAATACTATTCCTATTCTATCTATACTATATATCAGTGTTGCAAAAATCGCGCCGCTGGCCGCGGCGAAGAAGGCCGGAATCGGCCTCCTCTGCTGCCGCCTCGCTGGCTGAACCGGCGATTTTTTTTTTTTTTTTTTTAAGTTGTAAAGTGTCAAAAGTTCGGCAACGCATAACTTTTGACTCGGTTGTCCGTTTTGGACAAATATTTTTTTTTTAAATAGTTTCTCAGAAAAAACTATGAGAACCTTATGTTTTGTTAATGAATTTTTGAAATTTTTAATTAAAAAATTTTTCCGAGCATTATTTAATAATCTCTCTTTATAAATGGTCAAATTATTTAATTATGGTAAATTAGGGAATAATTAATGATGATAATAGAAATCTTAGAAGGATATAGAATTAAAGAATATTTAATTATTGTTATATTATTATTGTGACTCACGGAATACAATCCAAGAATAATTAATTATGGTTATATTATTATTGTGCCTCACGGCCATTATATACTAACCGAACTTGAAAAGAAACTAATAATAATAATAATAATAATAATAATAATAATAATAATAATAATAATAATAATAATAATAATAATAATATAAGTGGTAATAATAATAATATCTAAAAGTAATTATGTGTTAATAATATTAGTAATTTTGGAAGGTTACGAGTTCGAGCCTCAGTGGAGGCATTATTGGTTCTTTGTGTTTCAGTAGGTTGAGGAAGTATATGAACAGATACTACAATGTAATAGGACCAGTAACATTCAAAAAATAATAATATTAGTAAGAATATTAACGTAAGAATTATAACATAGAATAAATCATAATAATTAATAACTATATTCTAGGATTAAATTTGGAATTGTCAGGAAAGATAAACGACCTCTGGTGAAATTAACTCTTAAATAATTATATATCGATTTAAATATTCTTAATATATTACAACAATTCCATTCCGTGCATCACACGGGTGAAAATAATAATAATAATAATAATAATAATAATAATAATAATAATAATAATAATAATAATCTTAACTATAATATAGCCATATGGTTTGATGATCAATTATTGTAACAATAATTGCTCACCAAACCATATGGTTATATTATAGTTAAGATTTATTTATTTATTTATTTATTTATTACATGGTGCATAAAAATTCAAATTAACCTTAATTCATTTTCATCTCTCTTGCCTCATCCAATCCATCCAAAAACTCACAAATAAACTTCAATTGAGATTATTCTAATGAGGGCAATCTTAAAATTTTAGTACATAGTATTTAATTTTAGTACTAAACAGCCGTGTGTCGTTCGCCAGCGGCACCACGATCTCATTCCTAACGCTCCAAGCCGACGACGTCACTTGCAGGCTGTCTATACATGTTTGCATGTTGGTGAGAATGACGCTGAGCAATGTTTGCACGTCATCGGCTTCCAACACCAGGAGATACCGAGAAGTCCCGTTGACAGTCTTGAAAGAACTGGAGAGATAATTCATGTTTAAACCGGCGAGGAACTCGCAATCCTTGAGAGCTCGAACGGCGGTGGTGGTTAACGACTTGGAATTGCGGCGAAGGTACTTCTGGATCAATGACAGAAACTTGCGCGCAGCGGATAAGGATTTGCAGACGGAGAATCGGCCATAGTCGTAGACATTGGAAGAAGAGTTGTTGTTGGGGAGAACAGTTTGACAGTAAGATGGGTAGGGAGTGGTCTTGCAAATGGTGGATGCCGAGACATTTCTCGACGGTGGCGGAGCATCTGCGGCGGTGGAAATAACAACCGGGCAGAGAAAGGGGAAAAAATTAGCTTATTATATTCAAGGCTATGTGAAATTTCAGTTATACCCCTGATTTAAACCGAGTTAAACTGATAGTCTCACAGAAGGACCAAATATGCTTAATGGTCAAATAATTGAGGGACCAATTGTGTTCAAATTGGGAACTAAGGATGACATTGTAGATTGAGCACTAATTGAGGGACCAAAAGTGCGATTTACCCTACTTATTATGGCTCTGTTTGGCAGAGCTTATTTATGAGCTTATAGCTTATTTTAAGTTACTAATAAGCTATAAGCTCTGTTTGGTAATGTTTCCAAAATAAGCTCCTAGCTTAAAATAAGAGCTTATTTTGTAACGCTACCTTAGGTAGCGTTTCAAAATAAGCTCCTAGCTTCCTAACTTTTTTTCCATCTTTATCCTTATTATTTTTAAAAAATGACATAATTTACCCTTCCCAATTAAAACCATTTTCTCTACTCCTTTATCCACAACTTTCACCCCAAATATTATTATTATTATTATTATTATTATTATTATTATTATTATTATTATTATTATTGTTATTATTGTTACTAGTATTTCACCCGTGCGATGCACGGACATAAAATTCTAAAATATTGAATTTATGTTAAGAAATTTATATTAATTATTTTTGTTATTATAGTTGCATCATTACACAATTTTTCGAAATTGGAAGCGTTTCTAAATTTAAAAAAACGGTTACATATATACAAAACAATAATAACATTATGATATGACATTAAAAATCCCCAAAAAAAATTGCAAATTATTGAAAATTTCTTTGTACACTACATTTTCTGTAGTGTTTAAACCAACAGTAGAGTCTCTACATATTAAGATTTTTAGCCCATCTAGATTACTAACCCGATATGCTGCTACATACAACTGTCCAAGGTTAAACACCGGTTTCTTTAATAGTAGTCTCACATGAGATAAAGTTTGACCTTGACTCTTGTTTATTGTCATAACATATGACAACATTATTGGAAATTGCTTCCTCTGAAATTTAAACGGTACTCTTGGGTCAGAAGAAGTCAATCCCAGTCTTGGTATTAGTGCCCTGGTGCCTACATTGTTTCCACACAGAATTTGAGCTTCAATTACATGGTTTCCTAATTGTGTAATGATCAACCTTGTACCATTGCACAATCCCAATGAGTGATCTATATTTCTGAGCAGCATATATATTCTAATCATGT